TGGCCAAAACGTCGTGCAAAGGGCTTTGAACGATTCAAATAGTTCGAATGGTTTAGCGTCGCAAAAAGTCACCTCCCTTTCCAATGGCGCCATCTCGTTGACTGCATGGACAGGATTCTGCGTGTTCTTGGGGACATTGCTTTGGGCAATTGGAGCCTATCATCCACAAAGTACTGAGCAAGGGAATTGAAATGGCGGGAGGTGAAATGGCCGACCTCTCCATAAGCTATAACATGTAAAGTTTCAAAATTAATTGCACGGTGATTTCTTGATGGATTTTCAAAATGGCGCCCGTTTTGGAAACCTTGGACCTTGGGGAGAAATATATATTTTCAGATTTGTCAAATTCTGCTCCACCCCCTCGAAATCCAGGTCACAAGGTCAAAAAACAAGTAACACTTCTTTATCGGATTTTAAAATTTTACGACTGGATTCGACGGTCCTGAGGATAAACTCTTGGCGAAAATAGTCAGGTCATCATATTCAGCGACTAGTAGGCCGCACCCCCTGCTTTGGAGTCACTGTGGGGGTGGCCAAATGTCAAATCAACACACTTAATTTAGTAAAAAAATTTCCCCCACCGTAGTTTCCGAAATTCAACGTCGCCAATGCACGTAATCTTACCAAGGCCCCCTATGTGAACGACATTCCATTGTCGTAGACCCCATGGCGACAGGGGGTGTGGTTATCGGCGCTTCTGCCAATACCTTACCAATGCACGCCATGCGACATATCATTTTTTTCCGGCGGGTAAGGAGATTTCAGTGCCGTATTTCAAATTTTAATATGCCACACCCCATCTGGGTGTGGCTATTGGTATCCAATGGATTAATTTAAACCTGGTCATGTGACATATCAATTTTCTCAGCTCGCTAAGGGGATTTCAGTGACGTAGTTAAAATTTAGTAAGCCACACCCCCTGTGGGTGTGGCCGTTGGTATGCAGAGAATCAACTTAAACCTGGTCATACGACATATCAATCTTCTTGGGACGTTAGCTAGATTTCAATGGTATAGTTAAAATTTAAAAAGCCACACCCCTTGTGGGGGTGGTTATAAGTATTCGGTGAATCTAACTAAACCTGGTCATGTGACATCAATTTTCTCAACTCGCCTGGTGGAATATCACTGACGTAGTAAAAATTTAGTAAACCACACCGCCTGCGGGTGTGGTTTAAACCTGGTCATGCGATATATCAATCTTCTTAGTACGTTAAGCATATTTCATTGACGTAGTTTAAATTTAAAAAGCAACACTCTCTATGGGTATGGTTATAAGTATCCTGTGAATCTACTTAAACCGGGTCATGGGTCATCTCATGGCTGTATCTCAGCTCGCCAAGGCGACCACGGCGGAAGGCTTAATATATGCTAAGCCACGCCCCCTGTGGGTGTGGTTGTTGGCTTCCGGTGGATTTTGCGAAACAATGCCATGTGATCTGCAAATTTTCTCACCTCCTCAGGTGGATCAAAGTTACGTAATTCAAACTTAAAAAACCACGCCCAAAATGGGTGTGGTTTGAACACATGTGCAAATCTTGGAAACCAGATAATGCGAATTGCGAAATAATCAGTAGCATCGAATTCATCGCCACGGTAACCACCCAAACGACGACCACAACGACGACCACAACCCTTGGTGGTGTGGTTTCCATTTTAAGTTTTCTTGAAAGTGATGACCATCGAGGTATAAAAATGACGCTTTATTATGAGTCATCCGAAATGGTTTTGTCAATCTCGAAAAGTCGTTGCCGGCAAAACAAAGGGACGCAGTTCGCGAATTTTAATTATTCTGAAAAATGATGGAGATGCTGCATTAAATATTTAAAAAATGGCTTTTCACATCGGTTGGTTTTGTAAAACTTGAGCAGCCCAGCCAAATTGGAGGCGTGACTTTGGTTGAATTACATAACTTTGATCGCCGTAACGAGCTTGGAAAATTTACACGCGGCGTGATGACTTGTTTCGCCAACCTTGGTAAGCTGACAAGGGTAAGCTTGGTAAGGTATTGGCAGAAGCGCCGATAACCACACCCCCTGTCGCCATGGGGTCTACGACAATGGAATGTCGTTCACATAGGGGGCCTTGGTAAGATTACGTGCATTGGCGACGTTGAATTTCGGAAACTACGGTGGGGGAAATTTTTTTACTAAATTAAGTGTGTTGATTTGACATTTGGCCACCCCCACAGTGACTCCAAAGCAGGGGGTGCGGCCTACTAGTCGCTGAATATGATGACCTGACTATTTTCGCCAAGAGTTTATCCTCAGGACCGTCGAATCCAGTCGTAAAATTTTAAAATCCGATAAAGAAGTGTTACTTGTTTTTTGACCTTGTGACCTGGATTTCGAGGGGGTGGAGCAGAGTTTGACAAATCTGAAAATATGTATTTCTCCCCAAGGTCCAAGGTTTCCAAAACGGGCGCCATTTTGAAAATCCATCAAGAAATCACCGTGCAATTAATTTTGAAACTTTACATGTTATAGCTTATGGAGAGGTCGGCCATTTAGCCTTTTGGATTTATTAACATTGGCCGATGCTCAATACTTTTAAGATTTTTCATAGTTCACTGACAAAACAACCAGTGGGGCTTGATAAGGATGCACTAATTAATTAACGGCTTAGAATACTTTTATTGCTTACTTAGCTAAAACTTGCAAAAAGAAAGGCACTATTTACATACTTGCATGCATTCAAACCTTGGGAGCAAATAGCATTGGTCAGGAAATTTTTTGAAGTTTGTTCACTTGTACCAAGGAGGAAGCGAAGGAATCTTCGAAGTATTATGTGGACCTTGTACTGAAACCACTTTTAGAATACAATTTTCCTAATTTGCACGGTAAAATAATAATTAAGGTGATTTTTCATCATGACGGAGCGTCCTCCCAGACGGCAAAGTTGACCCAAGATTATGCAAATGACCTTGAACCTAGATTGGGGATAAAAATCATTTGGAATAGTGAAATACCTATACAATCCCCTGATATAAGTCAAATCGACTTGTTTGAGTTCGGATAGATGAAAAGAAAATCTTTCTGTGGGGACCGAATTTTTTAGACGGAGTTTGGAAAAAGTTGAAACGAGTGTCTCAACTTCTGGGGGCTGTGGGGGAGGCATTTTTGAAAGTAGAGAGTTGAATTTTTGCACACAACTATCTGAGGATAACATGCTCTTCTGTTCAAAATTTTGACCCGCTACGACGAACCGTTCCGGGGTTATTCAAGGCCAAATTCGTATCCACCAGGCTGCCCTCCCTTTAGTAATTTACATATGTAAATATGCAAAAAAATAGAAAATTAGTTGTTCAATTACATTATTAATAGGTATGTATGTAATACTTAGCAATGGGTAGTAAAGTATTTATGTATGTACCATTTCAAGAGTTTATTGAGCTTACACAGGTGATTTGCTTATGCATATTAAATATTTCTGTTTAACTTTACAATTCATGCGCTTTCATACTACAGAAAAATGATTAAATTATTGTTCAAATCGTTTATATATATTTATACAATAAATTTTTTAATCGAGGAAATAATTTTATATTTATGTACATACTTGCTAAATTTTATTTGTGCCCAAAATTTGCTAAGTTTTACTAATTGTAAGATTTAGTTGCACATTCTTCATGTCATCGGTATTTTTCGTGTGAATCGCGACACTGGTGTAAATATTCGTGAAAATGGAGTTCCAAGAATCAACAATAATTCGCATTTACAAAAGTATGTAAATATGTATGTAGGAGCAAGACAACCTCTTCTCCCAAAATTTTAATTTTTATACCTTCACTGCATGTAATTTCCAATAAAGTGCAAAATTTATTTCCCAAACAAAAATAAATACATATGTAAGAAGGTCGTGGAAGAAGGCTTGTCTTGGAAAAACTCGTGCCATGATTTTGTGTTATCATTTATGTACAACCACAGATTTGATTGGCATAAAAATCTGTCCTTTTAGGGACCGTGCATACATAAGGCATAGGATTTATATTTTTTGAGAGGTGTAAGATACAGTTTACATCCTTCGAATAAATTAAATTTTGACACGTGCGTATTTTACATGAAGGCCTTCGTGCAAAATACGCACGTGTCAAAATTTAAGGTTAGTCAAATATGTAAATACAGAAATATGTAAGAAGCCTTTACTCTAAATAATGTTAAAGCAGCTTTAATAAAGCTAAAATGATAACAAATTCTTTCATGTATGCAAACGTTATCGAATCGGTGACAGGTTGTGCATAGATAAACTCATGTTCTATATTACTCTTTCTTCCTTTGAAATGCGAAACTCATGTAAATATTCGCAAATCAACGTTACGGCTCATTTGCATATGTACTATATGGATGTATATTTTTATATATTTACGTACGTACATAGGTGACTACACTTCTATTCTCTCATAATTGTAACCTTTCACTCCAACTGATTTCCAATAAAGTGCATGGAAACTTTTCCACACAAAAATACATAAACAAGTCGTAGAAGTATGCATAATGATTTTGTTTACGACTACATGTTTGATCTGCATGAAAATGTGCAGACTTTTCGGGATGGTGCAGAAAACATGGGATTCATTTTTCCAAGAAACAACTGTCAGATGATGCAATGCTAACCACAGTTTGGTCAATAAATTCTAAAAAAAATCCTTCATGCACGACCCCCTCTACGGGATTTTGTTCATCGCAACTGCATCCTGACATGACGTTGAGGATTTTATAATTCGCATAACAAAAAGATCGCGTCAATGTTCAATTGGAAATTGATCGGCACATTAATTAGGGTACTGTGCATGAAGGGTGTGACGGATTTTGAGGACTATTGACTTCCAAATTAACTTCCGATCAATTAAAATATTCCGCCCGTTCTTCTTTTTAGGACCGATCACATTCTTATTGGATGACCCCTTCGCACAATTAATTACTTGTCACACAGTCTGATTTCGTAGAAAGATGATGTTTTCCTCGGGAAAGATGTAAATAATTCATATCATTTCGTGGTACAAGGTACCTCGTGATTCGTCCCGTTGTTGAACATGTTGAGATTCTTGGATATAAAAAGTAGCTCGGATTGAGTCAGTTTCAGAAACGATTTGACTTTACCAAAGTTTGAGAATACTTTTAATAAGGAAGGAAATAAACTCTTCTTTTTCAGTATAAAATCAGGTAAATTGAATAATTCATGTGAAAAGTATTGAAAATTTTTTAACTGAATATTTATTTTCAGAAATTTAGTTTCCACAATTTTTGAATATTGTGGATGGAGTGTGCCCCTATGTTTTTACAAATTCAAAATTATTGCTTTAAACAGTTGAATTTTTACCCAAATTAAGATTTTATACCCAAATTATGGGTGTCTGTTTAAAAAGCTGTGACTTTATTGAGATTTTTTTAACTGGATTAAAAAACTTCGAAAAATGCAACTTAAAAAAATTAGGATTACTTTAAACTGGAATTTTATAATGATATTGATCTCCTTTTTTTCAGAAAGATGGCGTCACCTCGATTCCTCTGCCTTTTCGCGGTTGTTGTTCTCGTGGCTGTCGTGTCTGAAACGGAGGGGCAAGTTGGGAGCACGGGGTGCAGTCGTAAATGGGCTCCGGCCGGGTGGTGTTGGCGTTACTGCTCGGGATCGTCGGGCAGTTGGTGTTACACGGGGCGGCAGGGGCCATGTGAGACGGCCTCTTGCACGGGAGGGTCCTGCTCAGGGATCAGTTGCCGAGGCGCGGCTGCCGGGTGTGTCGGGCACTGCTCGTAATTACTTCAGTGGGGAACATTAAAGAAAAAATTTATTTTTAAATACAGATTTTCACCTGATTAACAATTTATGTCTCGTTTTAACAGGATTGAAAAATAAAGATAAAAATAATCTGGAAAACTTTAGTCATTCCTTGTTAATAAATAAATACAGGGATACCGCATTGACTGCAGAGAATCTGCAGTCAATATACTGCATTGAGTCATCTATTCATTGCGTAAAAAAATAAAGTTAACGGCACAATTAAACACGTAAACCACGCATAATGTATGTAGAATGCAGAATAGTAAGATAATTGATTTTTGGAGTGAGTAATCTTTCTTCCCAAAAATTTTAATTGAGCATAATTCCTACTTTTGGAAATCTAACGTCATGTTCAAGACAAGATGTTCCTCGTATTAATTAAATTAATGGAGAAGTGAGCATGGCCTTAATTTAGGGTGCATAGTCATTGTCATAAATGTTACGACAGAACCATTTTTTATGAACTCTCCCATAAATAGGTTGCTCTCATCAATTAAAGATAGCACCATTCCTAAATATGGACTTAAATAAGTTAAAGGTACGGCAAATAAATAACATAACACCACTTTATTTAATGCTGAAAACTTTTACTTGAATCCGTGAAGATCAGATAATTTGTAACGTCTCACAAGACGATAAACTAACTGAATTATTATGTTCGACCCATTCTGAAAATGATTCGGGGGGAGATGAGGAAAGGTTTAAGACCCTTATTCATCTGCCGTAGGGCAGCTGCCATCCTCATCACTGCAAAAATTGCACCCCGGCGCCGCGCCCCATTTGTTCCCGTCGGAGAGACAGAGCGCGGTTCCGCAGCTCGACTGGTACTTGGCCGCCACGACCGTGCCGACTGCCCCACCACATTCGTAGATGCCACGATCCCTAGAAAATTACAAAGTCCAAATAAACCTTGTCATGGGCAGATAATTAAGAATCAAGTATTAATCTGAATGCATGCTTACTTGCATTTGACCCCACCCATCTCCTTGTTCAGCTTTCCTCCACAGATTAATTTGGATTCTTTGACCTTGGGCTTGCAATTGCAAGTGGTGTCGTTGGTCCCTCCGAAAACGAGGGGTGACGCCACCACCAGGATCATCATAATGGCGACGGAAAAATTTGCAAATGTTCCCATTGTATTTGCAAGTACCGTTTCGCCTTTGAAAAAATTGAGAATATTTATGGGGATGCGAAAGTAGGAATTTTGGAGATTATTTTTTCTAACTGGAACTGGAGAACTGAGAGTGGTAGAAAATTGTGATTTTGTATAACTTTTGTAAATCTAATTTTTTGCATTTTATGAGTCCATTGTTTATTTATAATGCGTCAATGAAGGGAAAGAGAGAGGACGTCAGCATATTTTGGAAGGCCGTACGTCATTACGTAAATAACTTAACGGGAGGGCTTGTGGGTTATAATTGACAAATATACAAAATATGCGAACTATGTATATGTAAAGTAGTTTATAAACCTGTCGAAATGCTGTCAAATCGGATTTTTTTAAATGGTGGACGAGAAGTGATTTCACATACTTGTATAGTCTGGTAATAATCTGGTAACAATTTTAGGAAGAGTGCAAAAATGACCCCACCTTATCCAACGGGGCCACCTTGGTTGGACACGATTCTTCGTGTTTTTTGGGGAGCAATGGTTTGGGCACGTGGAACCTCGTGCACTGACCAAAACAGCCAGTTAAACACGCTGGATACATAATTAATACATAATTAATACATAATTAATACATAATTAATACATACATTAATTAGAATATTTACGCGTGGGGAACAATACAAATTGCTAGAATTGTTACTTAGCTAAACATTTCAAAAAATGGAGCTTGCTAAATATGAGTATAAGTACTTACTTATCTGCATACAAGACTTTAGGAGAAAATATGTAGCATTGTAAAAAAGCTTTGACGCAAAAATCTTAGAAAATGCGTTGATCCATCATATGTATTTATTGATGTGATAACAATACGTGACAAATTATGTATGTATGTATTTATAACTTAATGTGTACAATAAGCTTACACAAGTGATTAGTTTATATTTACATAATATTATTATATTAATATTAATATTAATATTATGTATATGTATATATAACGGCGTTAATATTTGGAATAATTATTATTATACTATCCATGAATATAACTCTAATTGATGGTAGAACGACATGTATTTTTATATGTGCAATAAACTTATTTAAAATTGATACGATACATAATTTAGCATTTATTTATTTATTTATGCATTTAATTTTGTGTTTGCGAAGCGTTAATGAAGTTTTACAAGTATGTATGTACTGTGGTACATAGGCATATTACATGAAATTGTGTGCGATTCTTAACTTACTTAACTATGTATGAGATATTAGGAGTATTCATGTTTGCATTCTGGCATATGCAATGCATTAGAACGATGCAAGTACAAAGGGTGTCCCCGAATTTTTGAGCCACTCCATTTTATAGGTAGATTTTTTTAAATTCAAATTTAATGTCAAAATCGAGTAGTGAAACTCAAAATATAGTTAGTTAGTTGTGTGGATTTTTTGAAAACTTGTTGACGACACGACCCCCCCCCCCCCCCGTGAACATATGCATTTTTTCATGCATTTTTCTGCATGTGAATCTCTCCAGCCAAACACCATTTTCTTACTTACAATGCGATGACGCCAGCCGTCTCGCTCCGATTTTGACGAAACCACGATAATTATGTAACCTTAGACAAAAAATTAAACACGTATTTCGGGATTTTTCATAATGCTCAATATATTTAAACAAAGTTATGATTGTGTAAGTGGCCGAAAGTTTGCATTTTTCTCGTGAAATTTTTCTTTCTTTGTTTTTGAATGAGAAAAATTCGAATTTTCAGCTACATACTTACGCCACCATAACATTGTTTAGACTGAGCATTATGAAAAATCCCGAAACACGTGTTCAATTATTTACCTAGGGCTACATGATTATCGTGGTTTCATAAAAATCGGAGCGAGACTGCTGGCGTCATCGCATTGTTAGTCCGCTCTCTGTGGGGCTTCCCGTTTAAAAAGTTGCCTGATATGACTTCTAAATACATATTTACTTAACGTGTTAACAGCATGGTTAGTAGAATCCTCTAACAATCACGTTTCCTCACTACGTGGCTGCATTTGCAGAATTTTCTAGAAGTAAGATATATCCAGGTATAATTCATCTCGCCATCGTTGTTAAATCTGGAAAAAAGTTGAGCAATTGTAAGTGGAGGACGTAATCTTTTCAAGTTCCTGAATGGAGCCAATTTCCCGTGGAAATTATAAAATTAATTACACTTACATATTTTAGTAGTTTTGGAAAACGGTGGTAAGTAATTTTTTTACTTTGAAATAATTTGCATATTTTAATTAGAAAATGAGTAGTAGTGAAAATTTATTATTAGACAATTAAAGATGTATACTTGACATGATTCTCAAAAGTAATTACCCGCAAGAGCGAATGCTGAACTTGGTTAATATTTTTTTTACAAGCTTTACACTGTTAAAAACTTTATATGTTTTCTTAGAAATATTTTAGCGAATTTAAACTTTGTAGGATGTTTCTAAAATCAAAAATTTTTATAAAACGACTATTGTCGTCGTTACAGTTTAAAGGGTTAACAATAAAATCGAAATTTGTATTTGAGCGGAATCCACAAGTTTTGAAAAGCATGCAGAAAGTTGGAAGGTTACGACATATTGGGCACGATTATTACAGAAATGGGGACAATTTTTTTAAGAAAATGTAACTTAAATCCATGCATATTGCTTGTAGGTTTTCAACTGAGGTCAAATTTGAAATATTAAACATGGCTGAGTGCTGGATGGGGTCAAGTTGCAGAATGACAAGTAAGGATTTTAGCAGTGTTTAACTAACATTTTTAAGAATTATGAAAAATCCCTTCGACTTATTAATTTGAATTATATATTTATTTAGAAATACAATGGATAGTTCTTATCATTTTTCCTGCGGTATTTGGACATCCAAACCCTTACATCTTGATGCCCCCATTTAGAAACGTCCCAAAAATTCCCACCGTGGGGATGAATGTCCGACCAGCTCAGATTCCTGAAATTCTCAGATCACAATCTCAGACGTTTCACGGCCCAATTATAATCCCCCATACTTTCCCCATCTCACATAATAACCTTTCCTTGAATACCAACTACTCATTGAATAGCAACCCCTCTTTGAAAACCAACTACTCCCTGAATAGCAACTACTCATTGCATACCAACCCCTCCTTGAATAGCAACTACTCTTTGAATACCAACTACTCATTGAGTACCAACTACTCACTGAATGCCAACCCCTCCTTGGAAACCAACTACTCATTGCATACCAACCCCTCCTTGAATAGCAACTACTCTTTGAATACCAACTACTCATTGAGTACCAACTACTCACTGAATGCCAACCCCTCCTTGGAAACCAACTACTCATTGAATAGCAACCCCTTTTTGAATACCAACTACTCACTGAATGCCAACCCCTCCTTGGAAACCAACTATTCCTTGAATACCAACCCTAATAATTCCCGTATTTTCGATGAGAATGATTTTGCTTTCCAAAACCTAACCTCCTTTTCGAACGGTGACCGCTCTGTGACTGGATGGGCACGAGCCTTCTTTGTGTCCTGCATTGTATTGGGCAATTGACTGACTTCGTAACCAGTCACATTAAGAATGCAGTAATTATCCAGTTAAAATATCTACGTGTCAAAATAAATTGTTGGAATTATTGCTTGGCGAAAATTTTAAGAAAATTGGCTCATTATGTAAATATTTACTTCTTTGCGTGAAAGACTTTGACAGCAAAAAGTATCCCTCGAGAAACTTTTAAACTGTGCGGAACTGCAAATGATGCCAACAATTTGGAAAGTGAGAATTCCCTTAATCAATAACCGTACTCTAAAAACTGTACAAAATGTGCCCAAAGTTGAGAAAATAAGAGGAAGACACAACAATTATTTAATTAAAACTTTTCCAGCCATTATGTAAATTTTATCCAATTATTGGATCTACTCTACTTTGGGTAAATTTTGCACAACTTTGCTTAAAGTGCGCAACAAGTTGCAACGTACATGTGCAAGAGGAATTTCATGAGTTTAATGAGCTTGTGCAGGTACACTCTAAACAAAATTGAGTAAAAAAGAGGATGACACAACAGTCGAGGTAAAATTTGTCCAAAATTGAGTAAAATTTGCCCAACGTTGTGCGAACAAGGTGCATCATCATCATAATTTTACTCAATGTTGGACAAATTTTACCTCGACTGTTGTGTCATCCTCTTTTTTACTCAAGGTTGGGCAAATTTAGTACAACTTTTTTTAGAGTGTACATACATATTTGTTAATATATGAAATATTTATACATATGTTTAACATTACTGTAAATATTTACACATATATTTATAGCATGATTAATTATGTAAATTTGATGGATGCCAGAATGACGTGGATTTGAATGCAATAAACTTAAAATCCATTTGTATTTATTTATTCGTTGAATTTTGCGGTATAGTATATAGTATATGCGGTATGTAGATACTCCGCCTGGTAATAACTTAGGATTCCCGGAAGTTTGGGTATGGAAATTCGGGTCTCGGAAGTTTCCAAAAAGTTTCGGAGACTCAAATTTCCACACCCAAATTTCCGTACACAATAACTTATGTAGTTACCGGGTTTCTCAGAGTGAACGTTATCGAGTCGATGACAGATTGTACTTATTTTCCTATGAATACTCATTCATTCATAATGAACGTTGCTACGAATTTACATATTAATGTGGCTACATAAATATGTAAATTTCCATTCTTCCCAAATTTTAACCCTTTCACTCAACGTGATTTCCAATGAAGTGGAAAAATTTGCAAAATTTTCCAACCAAAAGTGAATAAATACATCGGTGCATAAACAAGTCTTGGAAATACACTTGTCTGGAATACTGATTTCATAGCTTTGTATATCATTTATGTACAACCACATGTTTGATTTGCATGAAAATCTGTAAACTTTTAAGGATCGTGCATATGCAAAAGGTGGGATTAGGAAAAAAACGTCAAATTGTGATCCTTTATCATGTTAATTGGATGTATCCCAAGTTAACAGAAATGTGTGATGTGGCGAAAATCTGTAAAATCCTTTATGCACGGCCCCCTCAACTTGACTTTATTCATAGCAACTGCATCCTGACGTGGGGAATTCATCGCAATTAATTCGCATAACAAAAAAGATCAGCGTCAATGTTCAATTGGAAATTAATCGGGATATGAATTACGATACTGTGCCTAAAGTGTGTTCGATTTTGAATTTTTCTTAAATTTTCGAACTATTTATTCCCACAAAAAAGAACACATTTCAATCAATCGAAATGTGTAGGATTTGCCACCCGTTATTTATTCCACTCCTTTGTTCAGGACAGGTCACATTTTTGCTGCATGTTCCCTTCGTGCCGATTTATTACTCGTCACACAGTCTGATTTCGTGGAAAGAAGATGTTTTCCTCGGGAAAGATGTAAATAATTCATTTCAGTTCGTGGTACCTCGTGATTCATTCCGTTATTCAACATGTTCGGATCTTTGATATAAAAAGTAGCTCAGATCGAGTCAGTTTCACAAGCAATTTGACTTTACCAAAGTTTACAAATATTTAAGTACCTTTTAATAAGGAAACAAGTCTTCTTTTGCACTTGTGCTACAAAATCAGGTAAATTAAATAATTCATACAGAAAGTGTCGTTATTTTTTAGCTGAAAATGTTCAGAAATTTAATTTCTAAATGCTATAAATATTGTGGGGCGAGTGTGCCCTAATTTTTTTTAGGAACGCAAACCCATATTATTTCTTTGAAAGATTTTAAGTTATTACAACCAAACTATCGTTGTCTCAAATGTTATAACTTTTTTTATATTTTTGGCCCGAATTAAAAAACTTTGAAATATGAAATTTAAAGAAAAGCAAGATTCATGTAAACTGGAATTTTATAATTATGTTAATCTCATTTTTTCAGAAAGATGGCGTCATCTCGATTCCTCTACCTTTTCGCGGTTGTTGTCCTCGTGGCTGTCGTGTCTGAAACGGAGGGGCAAGTTGGGAGCACGGGGTGCAGTCGTAAATGGGCTCCGGCCGGGTGGTGTTGGCGTTACTGCTCGGGATCGTCGGGCAGTTGGTGTTACACGGGGCGGCAGGGGCCATGTGAGACGGCCTCTTGCACGGGAGGGTCCTGTTCAGGGATAAGTTGCCGAGGGGCCGCTGCGGGCTGTGTCGGGCACTGTTCGTAATAAGTAAATTCAGTCGGATATGTTTCGCAGGAAGTAAAAAGTTTAAAATATGTATGTATATGTATAAAAAATTAATTTCAAAATTTGAATTTTATTCGATTTGTAACGTATTTATTTGAGATCACTCATAAAAATAAAATTTTGTCGCAATTTCCAGAGACTGAAAACTTTTACGTGTATATTTTAATGAAATTCAGGTCCAAACGTTCAATTTTATCTGATTCGAAATCGTCTCGCTTGAAACGAAATATGCGTAAATGCACGTTTTTATTCATTGGAGCTTATCATTTGACTTTTTGCATTTGACATTTAATTGGATTTTGTCTGATTTATATCAAATTTTGATTGGAAGTCTGTCATAACTACAACTTTTATAAATTTGCCTGGCTGACTTTCTACTTTCTCACGTGTCCAGCAAACAATTACATATCGTTTGGACACAGTGGATTTTTTGGAAAGTACAGTATTGGAGCACAAAAGTATGTACATAAATAGTAACAAAAACAGGAGATCGTTGACTTCAAAAATCGCTTCACGAAATACATATTCGTGACGGCGTTCAAGAAAAATGTTACAGATTTGAAATTGTAACGGACAATCTAATTATAGAGAACTGCCAACACCACAAAGTATTTTTCGGGAATATATAAGTAAATATGTCTTATACATTAGACATATGTATGAAGAGCCTTCGGTCACTTTACATAATTTCTGCTGCATAACTACCATTTTACATAATGGCCATTTTACATAGTTATCAATTATGTAAATCCAGATTTTGCATAATTACATATTGCATAATTATTACCAATGTGAGATGGTTATACTCTCAGAAATCCAGCATTAAAATACTACCAAGTGGTATTCATTCACTAAAATGACTCTACGCTACAAAGGTAGTAGTGATTACAGAATAGTAATACGTTGTAGTAATAGCTCCGTATTAAAGTTTTACTATATAGGTAGCAAATTTTTACGGTTCGGTACAATTTTAATATGAAGTGGTACTTTAATACGGTGTACCTTCCCTCGCCTCGTACAACTCTACTATAGTTCTGCGTAAAAAATAACTCAAAGGGTTCCATTGCCTGCTAAACTTGCAACAGACGGTATTGAGGATGTAGTGCTCGGCTAACTATATGGCGAGAAATGCAATTTTAAAGGTGCGTTACAACACCACCAGGGTTAGGAAACCCTGAAAACGAAGTTTGCAGAAATTATGAAATTAGAATCTTTTCTCTGCAGATTTAGAATTGTTTATTTCGAATTAAGTATTTACTTTACGCCGTTCAGGAAGTTTCCCCATGTCCAATTTCATCTTAATCTTTATTTCGAAACAATTATGCAATATATATTTATGTGATAAGGCTTATTATGTAAAATGACTTTTATGCAATAAAAATTAGGCAATATGACCGTTATGCAAAAGTACGTTATGTAAATTGACCTAGGACCGTATGAAGCTATTATACTTGAAGTGAGTTAGTTATGTGCTGTGCGAATGGAGCTAAACTCACGAGAAACCCTAGTCTCAGCACAAGGTACTTCAGGAGGCCGTAGGTTTAAGCTCCACCCGCACAGTACATAACTCGTTCACTTTATGTATAATATGGGGCCTATATCTGAGAATTGGACCTTTTTTCAAGCTGTGTGTATTGTCTGGCGAGTTACATATATTAAAAAATCAAGCCAAAAATTACACTAGTAAAAACCCGGTGTTAATCGTCAAAGGGTGGTGTGCATATGTGACTTCACCAAATGGTTATAATGTTTTTATCGCATAGTGACAAATCTTTCCGGTATGATGCCATATGGCTGGTATTATCAGTATTTTTCTCGCCATTAATTGAGAAACGATATCACCGCGCAGTGAAGTCATAGATATATGTAAATAAGTATGTACACATTTCGGTGACGATATGAACACCGGGTTTTTAAAAGTGTAGGACTCTCATGGCACTTGTCTTCCCCTTTGAAGAAAAAAATTGGGCGACAAAGTTCCCACGTGCGTCTTGGATTTCGCCACGTGGAGGAAAAAGCGAAAGATAATTCTGCCTTAGCGTTAATATTTTTCTCCAAAGGGGTCATTCAAAAGAAACATAAGTGCCATGTGATTCTCCATTTTTGACTCGATTTTTGGCTATAATTCGCTAGAAAATCCTGGTCTGTGTAGCTTGAAAACAATTCTATTGTAAAACTACACAATTCCATAAGTTCACCTTGTTACGTAAAATTTCGATTTTTTTCGTTTGAGTTATCAAGTGGTTTCTTTGTTGAGATGAGATAGTAGTACTTCACTGAACAACGGTACCTAGACAGGAGTCGTGGGGGATGTGATCGATCGAAGAGAAGATTTATAGCGTTATAAATGTATTTAGGCATATGCACGGAACGTACCTATCTATCAATAATTGGCTAATAACTACATATATGTAGGTATATACATTTCAAATTTTGCTTACAATGGAACCTTTTTTCAAGCTACACCTGGATCGACTAGCGAGTTATATCAAAAAATCAAGCCAAAAGTTATGAGTCACGTGACACTTCTCTTTCCATTGAATGGCCCCTTTGAAGAAAAATATTGGCAGTTAAGTTCAATTTTTTAGCAGATTTTCCCTTGGTTTTTCCTCCACGGGACAAAAACCAGGGAAAAGTTCGAACTTTGACCCTCAATATTTTTCTTCAAAGGAGCCATTCAACGGAAATATAAGTGTCATGTGACTCCTAATTTTTGGCTTGATTTTTTGACATAACTCGCTAGTTGATCCCCATGTAGCTTGAAAAAAGGTTCCATTGTTAGTTTAATGCAGTTAGATTTTTCAGCACTCTACAAAAGTACAAGCTCGTGGAAGGTAGAAAGTGACATTAAAATTCTGGGCAACCCTCAACATCGACGCTTGAAATCGTTTAACTTGATCATTTTGATTGTGTGGGGTGACCTTGGCCGCTTGCACGCAAAGGCCCTAGTCCGAGTCCGTACGACAACGCCATCTTTGGCCTGTCGAAGCAAAAGTGTTCAAGTAATTAGAACATGTTTATGACATCAATTTGATGTAGTGAGGACTAAATAAATATGTATGAGTTGATTTAAAATGTGCAGTACTGACTGACCGTCGTGGGTATGCTACCCCGGGTTTTGGACGTTAATCCGCGTGGTGAAGACAAGAGCCAGCCAAAAAAGCAGGTCTTAATTAATTTGGATCGCGGGAAAAATATTTTCCTTTGATAAAATCATGAAAACCATATATTCTGACAGTTTATTCGTAAAACCATTACTTTTTGACTTACTGTGGGCTTAACGTCGACTGCCGTTTTGTTGTGGGTGTAACGCCCCTGAAAATACTAACCGTAAGAAGTACGGAGCTTAAAATATTGTATTTTTTAAACTACAAAATATTTTGCGCAGTCCTGTAGGTCAGCCAGAATTGCATATAGCATACACGGTTGAACTTTACAGAAATTTGGAATTCTAAGAAACTCCACGACTATTTACGAGTCTCGAATTTTCAACGGAGAGTGGCCTGGTTTCTCAAAATTTTCAATTTCTGTAAAAGCTTCATCCTGTGTGAATACAGAGTACGTTCGTAAGTATTTTAACTCACAACTTTCTCCGTCCTCCTTGCGCTAAGAGTTAAAATGATAAACTTCGAGATCAAATTTCTGCTCCAAATCGCCCGCGTATCTCGACGTGAACCGGGACACTGACTTTTTTTCCAAACATTGGACCTCGCTGGCAATACAATTTTAAAATTATACAGTTGAACTTTATAGAAATTTGGAATTCGGAGAAACGCTGCCACCAACAGTCTTAAAGTTCCCTTTGAGCATTAGTTTAGTGAATTTTCGGCTGATAGTGGCGTGGTTTCTCAGAATTTCTAAGTTCTGTAAAAGCTTCATTCTGTGTGAATACAGGTTCCGTAAGGTCTTCTAACTCACAACAGTTTCCATTTTCCTTGAGTGAAAAGTTAATATGATAAAGTTGCTGAATCATTTTCTTCTCCTAATCGCCCGCGAATCTCGACGTCAACTGAATCACTGACTTCTTCCCAAATATTGAAACTCCTCTCCACGAATGTAAGGTCTTGACTGTGGGGCGTGATCAGCCGGAAGGGTTTCTTAAGTATCAGGTCGTACTCTGCCCAAAAACAGTGCAGAATTACGTAGGATTAGTACCTTTAGTAATTTACTTCATTAAATTACTACCTGCCGATGAGGGCACTACTCCAGAGCATCGTACATACATACATATTTGGCTAGCGTAAGTAGCGCAAATGGATGATAATTACTGTATACATCAAGAAATAGTAATCATCAATAGTGAAATTAAATGAGTTTGAAAGAAAATGGCTGACAAGGGACACTCACGACCTGTCGTTCGAGTCCAGGGTACCCACTATGTTTTTCAGAATCTACTAGAACCCCAGATGAAGGATCCATTCATATTTCCGTGTAAAACTCATATTTGGCGCCATGGCGTGGCGCCAAACTTAAAGATTTTCATTTTCGACCAATTTCAAACCCCCATAACTTTTGCAGTTTATGTCGGATTTTCAAAATTTTATGCTTAAAATGATCACAAAAGTCGAACTTTTAGAGAAAAACATAAAAATACAAAAATTATAATTTTAGATATATTTAGCATTTTTTCGACGAACCCCCATTTCAAAGAAAATTACGAAATTTTGCGAAAAGTTAAAAGCGACAACTTTTCGAAAAATTTGATTGGATACGAAAGTTTAACTCCTTGTCATGATTTTTGCCAAATATTTTGAAAATCCGTCCAGGATTACAAAAGTTATAGCGGTTTCAAAAATAAAAACATTCAAATTTGACGACTTTGGCGCCACGGCACGACGCCAAATATGAGTTTTACACGGAAATATGAATGGATCCTTCATCTGGGGTCCTAGTAGATTCTAAAAAACATAGTGGGTACCCTGGACTCAAACGACAGGTCGTGAGTGTCCCTTGTGAGTGTGAATGAAAATCTTCAGTCAAAAATCGGGATAAATGAATGAAGAAAGTTTTTTTTGAACAGGTATGGTTTCACTTAAAATCTTGAAGGACATAAATAGATTTTGAATATTATTTACTTGCTTCATTCTAGTCCAGCTTGTCCTACAGTGAAAGTCGAACTGACTTGAACTCGCCAAAAATAAAGTTACTCTTGAGGGATGGAAATAAGTAATGAAGGAGAAAGCTCGATATCTTGTTTATGATGCAGTAAACTTGGCAGTTATGGCTTGATTGAAAGGAAATATAAATAAGATGGGAAAAAGGAGAAATTTTGCAATGTGGACGTAGATAAGCCATGTTCAACCCAGATTATTTTTGACCAGCTCAGTCAACCCTGTAGAAACATCATTTTATTGCGAAAATTGTGCAGAGGCGCAAAATTGAGACTGTAATGGCTGCCACAAATTCTCGAAAACTTTCAGGTTTCGAGCGGAATCTTGCGGCAGCAGGTGCACAAACTTGGAGCATTTAAATCTGGCCAAAATTTCTGCAAGGGCCGAACTACATAAATATTGTGACTAAAGAGTTACCCCTTCAAGGCAACATGGTCAGCAAATAATCTGGTTTGCGTCCTCATTGTATGTATTTAATTACCAAGGAACTTATATTTTTATGACTTTAAGGCAACAGCTCAGCCTTATGTTACATTAATTCGTCAAGAAAACTACTTTCGCGAACTTTCGGCACCCGGAATTGAATATCCATGCATACAAGTTCCGCACTAAATGCTGTTTTTAAAGAGTTGGTCTTTAAAACTGCGGTGGTCAAAAATAATCTGGGTGGAACATGATTTGCGACCCCATTATCGATATGCATGTTTACCGCTGATTACCAAGCTTTAAGCATTTTAATTGCCCAATGCGAGCTCAATAAAGTGCATGCAAATATTTTATAAAATCTGGAAAACACGCTTATTTTGATTCCTACCATCCACATTCTACGAAGAATTTCTTAGCACCCAGTATACATAGTCTATATGCCTTAATTGGTCATAAAAATCGATCGATTATTCCTCCATGATACATAATGTCAGATGCATACATACGTTCAAATTGTGTGGCACACATTGTCTGTTTGGTTGATTTTCTGCGAATGGATCTACATAGTTCGTCGAACCTTGTCTTTAAAAAATTATGATAATTGAATGATAAATTGGGTTAAAATATCTCGCCTGGAAAGCAATTAACCTCTTTCACACCATTTATTTTTTATTACAATTTCCCTTGGGTATGATTTAAATTTCATAATTACGCTTGACGGCAACCAATTAAACTTTTACCGTATTGATATCGAATTTGTAATGTGTTTTTACAAAAAAAACACCTTTTAACATTTGTTTGCAGAGGAAAATTTCCAGAATTTGAGAATAAAAATATTCAGTTTGGTCCACTCCACTGGAATCCATTTTATGCATTCCAAGTAAGTTTCACACATTAATGCATGTATGTACATAAATGCAATTTCTGTAGTTTCTTTAATTTGAATTTTTCACTAATTAAGCCGCAAAATAAACTACACGAAATCGATTTTCTTTGGTACATACGTATGTACATATATAGGGTTGTTTAAATTTCACTCCACAATGGAAAATTTGATAGTGGGAAAAGCCCCTAAAACTCCATTAGTTACACAATTTTGGATAGAGATTTGTATTAAATAATTTATTATAAAAACTGATGACAAAATTCTTAAGATGTTGAATTTTTCAAATACAAAATTTCGGTAACTCAAGGAAATTTGCGAATTTTTCCTACTAAAAAATTGTCCATTTTAGCGTGACATTTAGACAACCTTGTATAAAGTACTGTTTGGGTTAATGTACCCATCGCACCATCAGATCGATTCATTGCGCAGTTAATTTATCGACTCGAGAAGCAGGAGACGAACCAGAAAGGAACAAATAAAAACATGCAATCAATATGTACAAATTGGTTGGGTTGAATAATACCTATTGGCAAATATTGGAAGTTGAGCCTTTCCTGGCCATATAAGTGGAGTAGGTTTTGCGTTATCAGACGATTATCAGGACCACATAAAGATAACGATTTGTCTACGTCGGACATAATTAATCAATCACAGAGTCGTCATTTCTCCGACAGACCTCATAATCATTTGAACTATTATTATTGTGAATTATTTTTCGAAAAATTTCATAACGTAAAATATACACTCTTAAAAATTGTGTTGTCCTTTTGAAAAGTAGATTCACTCTGAATTCTAAATTAAGCAAGCTTTACTACACTGTTAAAAATGTTGTGAAGTCAGAAATACTCTCCATGCCGGTATAGATTTGGGAATAAATTCCTCCCTGATTGGTAATAATTTTTTTCTGAGTGGTAAACTTTCATTACCACGCCCGATAATGCCAATTGTTGGTGAAGTCATACATATTCTACTCCTGTCGGTAATGATTCAACGCCACTTTGCTAAAGGGTATAAATCCAGAGTAACGTTACCTTGAATATAGAGCAACGTTTAGTCTAGATGTCGTATACTTAACTTAATTTTGAATTCAGGGTGCATTTATAATTCAAAAGAATAACATTATTTTTAAGAGTGCGCTTAACCACTTCGCCCCTATAACGACTATGTGGCGTATTTGACCTTTACGCCGAGTACGACCATGTGGCGTAAGTTCCCTTGGCACCGGAATACGACGATGTGTCGTATTGACCCTTGACAACGGATACGACTATGTGGCGTATTTTCCGTTCACACCGGCCTACGACTATGTGTCGTATCCGGAAAAAATTAGGTCATTGCCTCTCCAAGCAAAGCAAAGCAGGAGTTATGAGTCAACAACCCGCCCTTTAGGCGGGAAGATAAATTGTCTCTTAGGAAATAACATTGGAAAGGGATGCAAAATAAATTTATAGCCAAGTGGCTATATCTAGCCAACACGCCGAGTTGTGAAAACTGTTTTTTGCAAGGAAATTTCGACACCGATTTATTTCAACAACGCTTTACGATAAGATTAGAGAAATTGTTTTGCTCGCATGTAGCACAAACGGGCGTTTTGGGCGAGAAAACTAAAAGTTTGATGAATTGCATCATCGCATGGATTTAATTATATATCACAAATAATCTTGCCGGTAGGGTAAACTACTTCAAAATTAATGACTACGTATCGGGTGCCGCTGAAATATCTTTTGGGCGGGAAAATTAAAAATTGAGAGATTGCCAGGAATTAGTAGAATTTAATTTTCCCGCTTAAAATTGATTTCTATTCACCAGATGCGCCATAGTCTAGTTTCGAGCAATTTCCTCTCACGGGATAATTATTCATTGTCATTGCTGTGTATTTAAAGTCATTGTAAGGATTTTTGGTTTTCCCGCCCAAAATCGGCTCCTAAGGCGCTTTAGGCGCTATAATCAATATTTGCAAGTTTACGTAGTAATATGCAAGTATTACTACATGCTTGTCTAACTTTTCATGTAATTACAATCATTTTTAAAATTCGGCGTGTTGGCTATTTTCGGCTATAAACATTGGTGGCTCGCCACAACTCAAAAATGCAAATTACAACTCAAAATCCCTTCTTGAAAGGTTATTCACATCAATTTTCATAAAAAAGTGTCCAGAATAATTCCGGTGGGAACACCATTTTTTAATTCATGGCCCAGGAATTAACGTCATGCAGTAGATAAAAATTTCGGGGTCAAGGGAGGTAAAAATTCGCGGTTACTAGGGGTGAATGGTATGAAAAAACTCGTCTCCTAGGGTTGAAGTGGTTAACATACAATTAGTATCAAGCTATTAAGGATGGGAGACTACACGGGAAACAGTTTTAATCTAAATGTTCCCGCGAACACGACGGTGCCTCCACAATTTCTGAGGTGCGAAATAACATTGGAAAAATCAGTATTGGTGCAGGCTCCTCCGTAACAGACTGCTTCAGCAACTTGGGGCTAATTGATGTCGAAAATGCGGTAACGTTGGAAAGAATGAGAGCAAACAAGGGGACCATTAGTGTTGGGACGGGGTCAAAAATTTCTCGCCTTTTTGACAACACGGGTACAATTTTTGTCTCGAGTGGGGGGCAAGTAGAAAATATTCGGGGGAACTGTAAAGAAATTCATTTCGGACCGAATTGCACGGTCGAATTGATTGAGGGGAACACGGGGACGATTATTTTTGGGGAGGGGGGAATTGTGAGGAATGTGTCCAGTAATTCTGGGACTGTTTTTATCGAGGGGCACGTCGTCCATGGGAAAAATTGTGAAGCGGTGAAATCCCCCCCGCCAACTTCTGTAGCGTCGATTCCTAGTCCTTCATTGGCGACTAATAAGAAAGGTCACATAATACCAAATTCGGAGTAGAAAATTCGATCGTTTTTACGCAACTGAAGAGAATAAAGCTTTAATAAAAGTATTTTCACATTGCCAAAATTATGCAAATATAAAATTTTGCAAAATACTCATTTATACAGAGTTGTATTTACGCCCAACCCTGACAACCTTGACAAAACCGGTCACTCGGGACATAAACAAACTCAAAGCTGCAATGTTGACAACCCTTCCACTCGAAGAAAAGTTCCCTTCGACAGCCAGCAAGTTGGGAATGGTAAGAAAAATTTCCGAATTAAAGTGACCATCCTGTTTTCCCAGCATTACATATGTAACGTCAGAAATTGTACTTAACAAATTTGCACCCGTTTAGAAATCCAGTTCTTAAATGACACCATGTAGTATTCAATATTGAAGGTAGCAAAACGGTACTTATAAGGAATTTGGTGGTAGTAATTATAAGATTTCACACATCGGTAGTGAATTTTTAGTAGGAGCGGTATAATTTTAACACCAAGCGGAGGCAACTTTAATACCGAGAAATCAATACCTGCGGGGATTTCTAGTTAACAGTGCAAACATACATAAATCTAATCTATCTCTGTTATTCTCCAGACTCCAAGCACTCCTGGACCGCAAGAAGATAAGGCATCGTTTCTTAAGAAGAATAACCTGCCCTCGTCTAAAAACATCTTTACCTGCACAAGCCAAACCGACGGTGAGAAATTGTTGGTTAACAAATTTGGTGGAATTGATCTTTCTGCTGAGCACAATCCTTCCGCTCCTCCGGAAGATCAGATCTATGACAAGTTTCAAGACTCATCCAGGATGACATTCTACTTTGCCCCATTTGCATGGTCCACCCAAAAAATATGGCCTTCCAGTGTGGACACCTTTGCTGTTCGGATTGCTCTCTTGGACTGCTAAATTGCCACTTTTGCCGTAAAGAAATTACACAAAGGATGAAAATTTTTATTTAGTGGATATCCATAAATATGTACATAGTCTGCAAAAGATATGTTTAACTTTTAAATTTACAAATTTACGTAAATCGTACACTTTTCGTTTCAAATTTCTGCTAAAAGCAGTTTGTGCAAAATTTGTAAAATGTATTTATACAGTGTATCAACTTTGATACATATTATCTTTACGAAAATGATAAAAAATCGAATATAAACGAATACATATGTATGTAAAAATGTTAAATTCATATTTTGATAGTTTAGACTGCATATTTCCATATAAAAATAGAAGTTCCACATTTTAACAATTATCTGTACAAAGCTGTCTGAAATGCATATATGTATCAAGCCATGCATCCCCTAAACATTAACATGTGCAACACCAAACATTTAACACTTCGCAATATTTACAAGCACAATATAAATATATCTATAGTGTTCATTAAAAATATATATGTAGGTATTAATATTTATTTGCAAAAATGCATATTTTCATAAATGTAATTAGCATGAAGTACGTATTTGATAACCATTTCATTTCTCTGAAACAGGGAAAACTTACATTTCACTCATTCGTAGAATATTTCATATGCATTTCCGCTTTAAGTTTTCAACAGTAAACACAAATCGAGGCATAATGCGTGTGTTAATATGTAAATACTTACACACATGTACACGAACAGACGTAATCAAACTGCTGATTATAAATATGTAATTTTGGGGCCGTACGTAAAGAATGGGCTTGACTATCTGAGAGTTTTGACCCCTATTAGTGGTCATCCTTGGAGTTACTAATTAATATAATAGCATGGTTTGACCCCTACCCCCTCTAAATCGATCACATCCCTTTCGCACAGTCCCTTAAGAGTCTCAAGTTTTCCATCTAAACTACAACCGGTCAACCCTTGTAAATCCAGCAAAACAGATCAACCCTCATCGCGAATGGACATTCAAGCTTTGTATGTTAGGTTAAGTATCGTTCATAAAGGGTGTGCTTTTTTAAGAGTTACATACATATTTACCCTTTTGAGAGCAGTATGAATTTTTTGCCCTTGAAGTACTAATTGTAAGAAGGACTTTCTCCTCCCCGGAAAGAAATGGGTGACATTCCTTGTGCACGGTAATTCTTTCCCCTCGTTCATTAAGGAAGTGAGAAATGCACGTGGAAAAGTCAACCCTCCGTGAAAGTTTGCACCAGATAAATCTCTGTTTACATTGAACGGGTTGATTAATTTGGGAGCGAAGGGTTCAATGCCCTCATCGATACCTTCGGACCTTTATCCATTCCCCCTGTTTGCACACTTCTACCTGGTATGAAAAATCCCAGGTGCGTGTTAACCATCTTGTTGCGAGGGTGGGTTTGTAATAAAATTCGTGCAATCTAAATATCCATCTAATAAATATTATGCGGATTTGCATTGTGCGTACATACTCAAAAACAGAACTACATAGACATCGATGTCGTGAATGACTAATGCCAAGTTTAAATTAAAATCTGTACATAAACTGAATAAATTAGACGGGAAAATGAAAATTCGCGTGACACGACGAAGGTGATTAAAGTAAGATACGAATCGCCACAGTTTCAAATCCCGAATCCACACACCCCCAGCGTTCAATCTTCTACCCCACAAGTCCCTGGTAACAAAGGGACCATCCATAAAAAATGTCATAAAATTGGGACAGTTCATGGTAAAATACAAGATTAAATTGAGGTAATTTGACCAATTGAAAAGTGTCCATAATCAGCTTAAAATAGGACCTAAAAAGGTGACAATCTTTATGAATGTTCCCATTTGAAGTACAAAATCGACGCTACTTTCCCACTCTTCCGCATTTCGTGGTCTGTCCACTTTCTCCTGTACTCCTGGACGGTCGTCATTTTTGAGTCGTGTCCCAAAAATGGGCCCTGTTTTTTCTCTTGTATTTATAGTTTTACGCTGTCTGGCTTAATTTTTTGAGAAAATGACCACCCTTAACCCAACCACTATCGGTATCCAACTTTTGATTAAAATGCGACAGGTTTGTGCTTCAAAATTTTCCAGAAATATCACTACCGGAAACAATATATTTCTTCTTTGGAAAGTAAGTACAATATTTGCAGACTTATTGCAAAATGTAGTTTAGGAAATTATTCGAAAATTTCATTTTTTGCGGTACAATTCACATGGTAAAATATGGAAAAGGATGGCTGAAAAATGAATAATTAGCAAACTTCTGTGTTGGATAAATTCAGTCTCAAATTTTTTTTGAGGATATTTTTCAGCTAATAAACGGTGGAGAAAGTTAATTCAAAGTTTGAATTGTTTATTCCAAATTTAAGATTATATTATTTACATATCCAAACAATGTCAGTTATCAAGTAAAAAAAATATTGCACACATTTTTTTGTAATTAGTTTACTTTCAAAATAATTGGTTCTGTACGTTTACGGATAAAAACTGAATTGATAACGTTCTAAATGGATAATTACAAATAGAAATTTAAATCTTTTAGATAAACCCGACATGGTGAAGTTGTACAAGAACCCATCCAGCACTTTGGCACTAGATTGTCATCAGTTTTGTAATTTATGGTACGTTTTAAAACTTAAAGTGGGAAGTAATTAGTTATTAAAATTCAGGTACAGATTGTCTTGTTGAATAGGAAGGAATCCAAATTCAACTGGACTTCCAATATACACAAATGGATACTCACAAAAAAATTGGCACATTTCAACCTCGACAAAATGATCGCCTTCAAATTCTACATTTCTTCAACATCAACTTTGTTACATACTGAGCCTTGCCCGCTGCTTGGAACACATCTGACTATTTAGCTAAAAAGGTCAAACCCTGTAAATCTAAATGTGATTGGATATCAATATTAATTATGAGTTCTCATCGTTTGAAAAAAGTTATATAGTTCTAAAAAATTGGATTGAAAGGTCATTTGCGGCTTTTTTAGTATTTTTATTGCAATTTTTTTTAAAATTATTTTGTAAAATTAACATTGAACTCGTAATGAATACCCCCATTACTTAAGTAGGTCTAGCACATTTACTCTAGTATCCTTAGCTGGATGTTTTATATTCAACCTGATTCCTTACCATTGACGTGTCCAAATAATGAGATGAGGTACTATATAATACTTAACTATCTATTTTCTAGCTTGTTCACAAGGTATATACTTGAACAGGTGAATGTGAGTTTTAAATAATTCGTCAGATGTACTATAAGATCCTATAACTTTTGTTCGTCAAAACGTGAATTTGCTGCAAAAAAAGGTGCAAGACGTAACTCACTTTTTCTTACCTTCTTCTTGATGAATGAGGAATAGTGCTGTAGCGGTGGGCGACACTCATTATGCGGTCAACTTTTATTGTACATATGCTGTCTAAAAATCTTCCAACTTGTAAACTGCTGCTACTAGATGTCTGATTATGAGACTACGTATGTATGATGTATACTGATGTATATGATGGCATATGTGTATATGTAAGGTGAGAAGGAATCGCGTGCTGCATTCTCAATTGCTGTAATTATTGAGCAGTAGCCAGCGCCAGGCGCAATTGACGTTACTGGACTTGAAAAAAAACTTGAGAAACACTCAGGGTCGATGACTAAATTTACCTGTCAGGTGATGATGGGGTTGCAACAGATTCAAAGAAATTGTGCTCGGCAATGAACCAATCATTCCAATAGATTTTGAATAGGCACTAGTAGAGTATCTCAAATTTTTGCAGCAGAATTTACAATCATCGTCTCTACCAGCAGCCAGCAAGAAGACGCTCCTATCCATGTACTACGCGGTTATTCGAAAAATGAATAGGATCGAACGCATTGGACCAATCAAATAATCCGCTGTTACGCGAAGGATATGACCGATTGGACAATTAAAATGAGAGAATTGTAAGCAGATGTCAGCGGCACCAATATTTGAGACGAACTAAAGTATCTAAAGAATAATCGGTACACGACCGTAGACGACTTAAGCAGTGAGTACTTGTGGTATAAGTCATTCACTGTAAAGGATTATAAATTGCTCATTTATCGAACTGATATACATAATTCCTGTAATATCTAAGAATTTCACGTCTACCCTTAGCAGCACTAGCAGTTATAGCTAGTCGTAGGTGTTCTGTGCCAGTGTGAAAGTGTTTTTTAAAAATACTAAATGCCACTTTCTGCGAGGCAGGCAATCTACCATTGTGCTCGCATAATGTTTAATCGACAAAATCTGCATATACATAAAACTAAAAATTATTGGTGATATGGTATACTTATGGTATATTATAAATACATATATATTGATTAGAATTATTTACTTTGTAAAAGGTAAATAAGTGCCAAATAAACTGTCTAATTGTAATACTAAATTATGTCTTTGGAGTAAGTTGAATGCCTTCACGATGCCTCTCGCCGGGTAAATGGGAGACATTGCCCAGGATTCTGCTTGCAAAATTTTCAATTTTTCATCTCAGTTATTATGACATATATAATTATGAATTGTCTAAACATGATTTTTCTATAACATTATATTATATTCTTACATACGCAAGAGACTGTCAATACCGTAGAAAACACACAGACTAACTTGGCACGCACATAATTTTTTGTCTGAAATCTTTTGAAACGCACATAAAAATGTGATAAATTTTTACTCTGCTTCTGCTTAAGATGATATATATAAAAAAAAAAAAAAAACCTTTATTACAACCACTGGACCCCACGAATGGGCCATTACCCAGGGAGGGAGAAGAGTACCTGTATATATGTATGCATATATGTATGCATAAGAAAAAATTGTACTTGTTTAATATTGTATTTATGTAATACAATTGTACGCAAATGAATGAACGATTTTCCACAAAATAATTAAGAAAAATATTGCTACTTTTGTATCATAGTCTGAATTTATAATATTTATCTAGACATGATGAAAAATATTTTTTTGCATCATTTATGCACATTTATCATAATAAGCTAAATAGGTTTTACCATATACATACTATACATAGAAACAGAATATTTAAGTGCATTTCCGACCAACCCGAAAAGAAATAAAATCTTATAAGAAGATCGTATTTACAAATAACAAAATATGTACATATTTACGTAAACATTTACATTATGCATACAAAATTTGCAGTACAAAATTTGAAGAAACAGGCTGAAATGATGCATGCTAATTCTGCAGTCACGTACATAAATATAAATGCTACATACGTAAATACATACTCCTCGTAATGTGGTAAAATCCAAGCTGTTTTTCTGTATTTTGCATATACCATTATTGGGTTATATGTAAATGCCTCTAAACAGACTGACATTATGATCCGTAGCGGATGGGCAAATGGGTCATTTATGTACATACATATTTAAGTATAAATGCATAAAGAGTGTAGGAACGGAGTAAATATATATCACTTTAGATTCCTTTCTTCCACTACTGTAGCGTGCAATCCTTGCCTTATTTCTGACAGGATAATGTAAACCTTTTAATAGTTACTCAGAATTTTCTGATCCTCAACCTTACAATCACTTTACAATCGAGTCCAAATTCCAGGTATAAAAATAAATTTGTGTCTGCACAATATTTAGAACATGACGTACATAAGTAACGTGCGCAGCACACGACATTACTTTTTCACAAACCCGACTAGTCATATTACTCAATGAACGATAATTTGGGGTGTCAAGGTTAGCGCTGTTTCTACAAAAAAATATGCAAAACTTACAAAGATTTCTGTAGATTTGAAACTTGACCATTGCCAAATAAGGAATTTTATGAAGGACCCTGAAAAGAGAAAGGGACGCCGTCATGACGATTTCTACTTTTATTTCTGTCATAGACTTACATTCAGGATGTAAAGAGGTAAATTTTTGTAGCCCCTAGTGTTCAAAATTCTAAAAGAACGTGTCCACTTAAATGGCTCATCTTGTCGAAAAAATATACTTAACACAGTGTAATTCAATCGAGTGAAAAATACACGAATTTCTTAAATTCATACTCGATGTTGGGCTGGATGTTGGGCTATTATCTCAAACCGCTAAGCACAATAACATGTTGTTTGTAAATCTTGAGTAAAATATGCATTCTTAGTGAAATGCAAAAAGTTTTTAGACCATAAATTAATTATTTTTTTGAAACAATTGTATTTCGCGATTTAAACTTGATAAGTGACTTGAATAATAAATTAAAGAAATCTTTTAAATATTTTATGTGTTTAGCTTATGACGAAAATGCCAATTATCGAATTATTCAAGCCAGTTCCCCATCCATGTTTGCTATTCCATGTATATAAGTAAGTTTTCCTGTTTATTGATACATAATCAACCAATGCGTGAAATATTTGGGGTATTTATGACGAGTTGACAAGTTAGCATTGCGGCACAATTTTGACAAAAATTGGCAATTGCATAAAAGTACTAGCCAAGTTCGAGAATAAGTTGCGAAGCCAATTTTTTTGGAAACTATTTTTTTGCCGGCGTGGCTAGCGATGTGAACTCGTAATGAATATCCTCATTATTTTTCACCTTATTTAAATATTCCTGCAAAAATTAGTTTGAAGTATGTATGTACATCATTGTATTTATTTTAATTATTTTGGAAAGTGTAAATAAATATGTATAAATACAACAACGAATTATATGTATATTTTATAGGTCTGCCATAATTGCGATTTTCACTATGCAAATGAGCACGTGTTCTTCACCGTCACTCTATCCAAATTGTCGGAATCCTCATCAGAGCAAAGTTTTCAAGTTGCTTAAATGGGAATCATGCCCATCAAACGTAAAGGTTCATTAATTAATTCAATTAAAATTTCAGCTACAATTAAAGAATTGATTTATAATTTCAGTCATCCCAGAAAATGTGTTCTTATTTGGATTCAAGGCGCTCTGTTTCTTATCTTGGAAATGAATCACGTCAGGTTGGTTACGAAATAAGAAAACATCTTAATAATCACGAGAAGAAAATTGGAAATCAAGACTTGTCTGGATAAGGATGGTATCAAATTTTAAGGTTTTGATTGCTATTATCTTGCTATATTTTCTTATTAATTCTAACTGTGCACTAACAGATTTAAATAAGCACAGTACTTAAAATTTAGTACCGACTTCTTTTCTGTGTCACACTGTATAGTCGTGAGCTTTATTTTTACTCGCTTTCCTTTCATATCTCTCGTTAGATCGGATCCCATTTTCTGTGTGCTATTTCATACTGTAGGTCATAGGCCTTTTTGTTAATTGCTTAGAATAAGTAGTGTCAATTTTTGCACGTATTTTGGAAGAAAACGTAAACGAGACAGAATCTTTGACTAATGGGAAATATTTGAAAGTGTATGAGATTATTTTCAACGATTTTATAAAATTTGGGAATTGTCGTTAGTAAGGGTTGCCCCGTAAGATTGTACACGGTTGTATAAGTGTAATTTTTATATCAATTACTAACATGAGCCTCAGTGAATTCAGTTTAGAGGAAACTAGGTTGAATCAAAATTTTATGGATTTTTCATTAATCCCTACTGAAAATCCTATAATTCTCATTGTTACGGTTATACCTCTACTTCACAGACAAAGCTTTGCTTGTTCCTTGTTCAGAACAATTATCATTTAAGGGAATACCTAGTTTATCGTTTGTTGGTTGTTCTGCTGTAATGAGCTAACCAAACACCACATCGATTAATTATTTTGTTTGAGAATAGTCCAGAACGTGTCATTTTTAACCAATTATCTGGTAGAATTTTCCTTGAATTTACTACATAGACTCATGCGAACAATTATCCGGTGGTGACATTGGTATAAATGTAAATGCACTTTTCTCAAAAACCACAAATGATATTCAAGTGATTCTTTTTGCATTTAGTAGATAAATTAAGTGGGTAGATCATACAGGAAAACCAGTTTCGAAAAAAATTCTAAATGGGGCAAAACAAGATATTCCCGCGGCGATTTAAAAACAAAGTGGGAACAATTATTTGGTATTTTTGATTTTCCAATGAAAACTTACTTGTCTTGAGTTGATAAGCACTTTTTTAATTTTGCATAGCTATAAGATGTATTTTTCTACATTTCTTCGTAATTCCGGAATTTGACAAATAGTTAAAACCAATCCCAGAGATGCTTCATTTGACCACTGCATGTGGGTCATTAAATATTTTGTTGGGGATCATACCGGCAGTCGAAAATTTCGAAACCGCACAAAATGCGGTTTCGAATACTCCTTTCACCTAAATAAGGTGAAAGGAGTATTTAACCGACGTCTTCTCTTTTCCTTAATGGTTTTTTCATCCTGTAGAGTAGAAAAAGCAATAATATTAACAGGAAGGTCAGCCAGTACGGTGGCGCAAATGGGATATTGAGTGGTTATAATTAGCAACGAAAATTAAATTAATAAGCGGCTTTGTTGAGAAATTACTGAAAAAGCAGACTTTTCAAAAAACCTACTAAAGACATAAGCAGTTTATTATTTGTTGGTTGGTTCTGTTGTAATGGAATAACTAAACTCCACATTGATTAATGAATTTGTATTAAGAATAATCCAGAATTAATCATTTTTACATACATAATTCATCATTGCTGGAGTTTTCCATGAGTTTACTATATATTTGCTGCATTCTTGTTTTTATGCTCCTCAACTGACCACCGAGAAGTCCGAGGTTTATCCTTGGGATTCATGTTTATGAAGTAATCTTTCACGGGTAATTTCGAAGCAATTCAGTCGTTTTTGTGTAATATTAACTAATATGTATTTATAGTATAGTCAAATTAAATACAGTATTATACATACATATGTAACAAAGATATCTTGTATTGTGTCAGGTTAGATTTTAAAGTTTATGTGTAAAAAATATTAAAGCTTAAAATTAGAATGCCAAAGAGGCATAAACTGTATCCGTTTTAAGAGAAAAATATACTTCTGTTAGACCGTTCTCGTATTATTCAGTCTCGAATACTCGGGTTTTGAGTTTTCTTCCGATCTGCTTACATTTTTTTCAAATTTTCTGTCAGTAACTACTTCTGTATTCACATTTGAAATAATATCTAGACAGTCTATGTCCAAGGATTGTACGTCTTGGGCACAGGTAGCGTAACTAAATTATAACCAGCAACGTACATAATATATATGTGGTGACTAACACTTAACAGGTTTATGTAGATTCGGTCATTATCCGTAGTACAATTTTTTCATTTTGTGTGATTGCAAAAACGTTTCGGTTGTATAGCACAAGTGTGTAAGGTGGTAAGAAATTTTTACCATTTTTACTGAAAATCATTTTTACTAAAATTGACTGAAAGGATTAAATGAATTATTAATATAATTCAGGTACTTTAAATTCTTCCTATTTATATAATTAAAAGAAAATTCCTTCTATTATTCAACTCTTATTAAGGTAATAAAATTCATTAGTTCATACCTCATTTCAAAATTCCATAATATTTCAGTTTATCATGTACATATTCTGAAGCAAAGTAATGAAATGCGATAAGTGTTGAAGCTCTGCAGAAATATTGCAAGGAAATGTTAGACTTCATTCTCATGTCGTTTGCTGAGAATTATTATGCATAATAATGACCGTTTCATACAAAACATACATGTTGACACTCGAATAAGGTTATGTATTCAATAACTGCGTATTATTTGCGTATTACTTGCTATCTGTAGGTTGAAAATGCTCCGTTTATTGATACATACATGGCTGAATTTGTCGGCATTTATAATTACGGGCTGGAGATACTTGGCCGGAGCTGGAGTTAATCACGGGCTGGAAATGGTGGGGTGGGCTTCCACGGGCTGGGTTCCGTGGGCTGGAAAAATCCGTAAATCAGAAAAGGAATAGTTGTGGAAAATAATTATTTAATCAAATTTAGAAATATTATAAAATCTTACATTTTATGTACCTAGTTTAGGTTTTCTCTGGTAATTGGGCAACCAAAAATATTCAGCGGAAAGAGATATTCTAGAGTGTAAGTGGAAATCTAGAGGTAATAATTTGTAACAAAATGTGTCGTGGCTTAAACTTTGCAACAATGAGTGAGGTTGAATATGTTAGTACATATACTTCACAGGATATTCTAGAGTAACAGAAGAAACATAAATCACCACGTAAAGTGGATCTACGTGACGATTTTATTCATATCGTCCTTCAAGAGAAAGAGCTTTATTGCAATCGATCCTGTTTCTGTCATGCTGATTTCGAGTTTTAATTGTTGCGTACAACACGTGAATCGGGTAATGTTTAGGTTACATAATATCCGTTAATTATTATCATCGGCACTTTTGAAGTTTCGTTCAGCGAGTTCATCGCTGATTATTTATGAAATTAATTATCTTTTCTCTCGCCGTTCTTTGCACCCACCACTTTTCTATATATGTGAGTCTGATAATACCATAAGAATTCAACTTGTGAACAGGATAAGCAATATTCCTTGGTTTTAATATCGGACGATTCTATTACAGACTTTAGTTAATCTCGGGCTAGAAATACTAAAATTAGAATGTTTAGTTTTGTCACTTTATCTTTCAAAAGAAGTTGTTTCAACAACATCTTCTCTGTGTTCGGGTGGTTTTTAGATTTCCTGGCATACCGTAGAGTGGGCGGCATAATATTGACAAAGATGTCGGTACTTTCTGTTCGAGATACGTCCAGGAGCTTTAGTTAATTCGTGAAAATTGTAAATACTCCACGGTTTTACATGTTACATAATCATACAAGAGTTAATAGGAAACTGTTAAATTACTTGATTCATTTTGGAACTGACAGCTTACATTTTTCCTCTACGTTTGACGTTTTAGGAGTTTAATCGATTTTGTCGAAGCGACGTAGTATTGCATTATCTCTGACTTGTTGCGACCTTCCAACGTCGGATAAGCAAATTGAAGTTAAATAATAATTCGTGAAAATGGTAAATATTGTGCAAGTTTGTATTATCTGAAATACAGAAGAAATACGTTCTTGTTAATCTACATATATTGGTAATAATGTTATGTCAAATTCAATGCAGTATTTATTATCATACTCAATAAAGATGCGTAGTATTGTCTTAGGTTACATTTTTTTAAATTTTATATATGTACAAAATATACTTAAATATAAAATTAGGTAGGATGCCAGACAGGAATAAACGTCAATCGTTTTGATATAAATAGGAGAAATATAATTTTGTCAGACGATTCTCGTATTACGATTCTAGAATTGAGTTTTGTGCCGATCTGCGTATTACCATGTCCTTCTGCAAATTTCTCCTAAGTAGCTACTTCTGTGTTCACGATTGAAATCATATTTCAACATTCTGTGCTAAAGGATTGTAAGTGTTTGGCGCAAGTAACGTAATTTGGTCCTTAACAGTAACATCAAACTTTGTGAGTCACACCTCAGATGTGTGGATCCACAATCCTAGGCATCTAACAAAAGATAACTGGTGTCATGTCGTTTGTTTTCGTTGATTAGGTCCATGTACTTCAATGGTGTTTCATTTGTAGTTTGGAAGGTCCTGTCAGATTTTTTTGAATTTTTTTTTCGCATTATTATTTTCCCGCCTTCAATAGTAGCATGCTCTACTTTGCATATTTCCTTTTGATGAATGGGAACTGGGAGATTTCGAATAGAAATTTATCTAATGACCCCATCGATGGCTCGATTCACATATGTTTGTCGGACATCCCTAATCGAAACAATGGAGGAGGGTTGGTCCCCCTTCGCAGTAGATGCCGCTAATATCTAACCCAAGTCTTGTATTTGTAGCAGAGAGGTCCATTTCATTCCAAAAGTTAGGTTCTCGTAGATCTCGTAGGTCTCGTAGGTTTAGGGTGGATTTCTGTTTAAAAATTATGGTAAAAAATATGCAAGTTTGCAAAATACCTAGTTTTACTGGTAATTATTATTGCATCGCTGTAATCTGAAAATATCTGGCTTGAATTGTCTCCTGAATTCTTAAATTAGTATTTATTTATTAGCCGCGGGCATTTACGCAAACATACCTAGTACTCTCTCAATTGCTGTTACAAGATTTCCCGAGTAAATTAAGCAGGGAATGAATTTTTTTAGTAAGTTGTGCTATTTTTTATTGAAATCTCCATGCTTTTGTTTATCAGAAACCATGTTTCGAACTTTATAGTGACCCAAGGTCAAAAAGTGACAGACCAGGAGAAACAGCGTGTTGACATTGTTCAACAACATTTTGGTTAACAAAAAAATTCGTCATTTTTCAATGGTTGAATAAAAATCGGAATTGATGGCAAGGTGGTCGACCGTACCATAAAATGGTGCACTGACACTGACAGTGTCGATGACCGAAAAAGAAATCGAATGAGACGGTCAAATAGGTCACCAAAATTTATCAAGTCATGAAAGAATGGATTCGTCCGAATCCATGCCGAGCCCTAAGAAAATTTACCTCAAAAATGAACGTATGAAGTAAAAGTAAGTCCCGTGCCCTTAAACTAAACCTTGGACTTATGTCTTCAAGTCATGGGGAGAAACACTTCCTAACAACTCGCCAAGTAAAAATAGACCCATTAGAACCCTGACGCTGATCATGCGGTACGCGCTTGGAAAATGGAAACGGATATTTTCAACAGATGATCCCAGCTTTATGGGTGAGGCCAAGTAAAATAGCAAAAATACCGTTTCTACACCCCACCAGTCTAGACTATTCGTAAAAATTTTAAAAATGTTCATCTTACCCACCATATTGGTTTTACGATTTTTTGATTTTGAATAAGTTGAATTTCGCCGAGAAGTGATTTATTTTCCTTTGGGGGTGAAATTTCATGCCAAAAATTATTTGTTCAAGTTCTCGAGCGAATTGTCGAGCCACTGATCCAGTACCTATTAAAAAATATCGCCGTGACATTCAAACATGGCTCAGGTCCTGTTCATGAGGCCAAGATGGTAATTTGGTGGATGAAATCCAAAATTTTTGACTCCATTTCGGATCAAGAAAAAAATCATTGTCGCCAAACCTCAACCTGCTGGAGCATGATATATTTTCCAAACTTTAGCTGGATGTATGTGCTAAACCCCACACAAGTTTGGAATTCATAAAAAATCCAATGGTCTAGAAATGAGGCCAGTCTCCCCTGGAACGCTTGCGTACTCCGATCGAGTGGTGGAAACCAAGACTCTGGGCTCGTGTCGCCGTAAAAGATTGACATTTTGAAAACTGAATAATGTTTCTTACACGAAATTTCATTGGCTTTCCAGTTCTGTACTTATTTTTTCGAAATTCAATAAACTGGGTTCGCTACAATAAGTTGTTCTTGTAACACTAATTAAGGGACTACTGGGTATATCAAAATGCAACTATCAATATTTACCCTATAAAATGACATTAAATTCAAATTTTCAAGAAATTAAAAATCTAAACCAATAATACAAAAATTTGTATTCATTTTTGTAATATTTATTTTTAAAAATATTAATTTAAGAATTTTCACGAAATAATAACAACAATTGTAAAATTGTGAAAAAATGGCAAAATGAAGTAGAAAAAAATAAGTAACAAATTTTGATATATAATTCTGAACAATTCTGCAAGATAGGATTTTTTCTTGTAATCAACAGTCTCGTCACTGTCATAATAATACATGGATTCTGGGTCGGGACGCATAAGCCTCGAATTTTTTCGACGCCCGTGAAGGACGGGGTGCGCGTTTTTTGAATCCTGCCCCCTCCCTGGAGCGATGCACTATCGCTGCGATGTGAACAAATCGCTATTATTTATAAATATTATTAACCTTATCTTCCTAGTTTACATAAGTTTTGTCTGAGCACAATTGGTTTGCAATATCGCAACCAAAAATTTTCAGACGATAGAGATATTCTAAAGTGTACATGGAAATCTCTGGGTAATAATTTATAACAAAATCGATGCTAAAACCAACTATGTGTAAGTTTGAACATGTTGGTACCGGGCTTTATTATTCGGTGTTGGTCGTTTACCTAAGAAACATGTACTCCTATATTTATATGCATACACATTTAAGCACTTATTAAGTCTCCACGCTAAGTGGATCAATGTAAATATACCGTCCTTCACGAGTAAGAGCATTATTCAAATCCTACATCTGCCATGCTGATTTCGAGGCAAAATCTTTTCGTTCAACACATCTATGAATTCATTTCATGTCATTTTGCGTCTATGAATTGTGTAACGTAAAAGATTTCATCATTTCTGTTAATTTTATGGGCACTTTTGAGGTTTGTTTCGGTGAGTTTATCACTAATCCACCTCCAAACAATTATGTATCTTTCATTCGCTGTTCCTTGTACTACTTCTCTCTGTGAATCTGATAATACCATAAAATTCAACTTGTGACCAGCGTAAACAAAAATCCTAGGTATTCATTTCCTAAGGTTATATTACAGATGGTCTAAGGGTAGAAA